CGACGTAACATACCCTCCTCTCACCAGGGAGAATCCATTTTGTAGATTGTGGGGAAAGGGCACTCGCCGTACGAACGAACGAATTCCAGATTGCAATCGATAATTCGAAGTCACCCGGACGCGATGGATACTCTTACGGAAGCGCAGTACACGCGTACGTTGTATTATGCGAACCCTCGGGATTGTATCGTGGCCTCCCTTGTCTCCACTTTGCCCGCCGACGGTGTACGCCATCGTGGAGGATTCTCCCGACGTTTCGAGAACATCGGTCCAAGAAGAAACTGGCGCGGCGGCTATAGCGGCGGCCGCACGCTCTCGGTCCCCAAGTCGTTCTGTTTATCTCGAGCACCGTCGTTTCGCGATGAATAAACAGCAGTCGGGATTCTTCGAAACAATTTAATCTACATAAGCTAACAGCTACCTGTCTGCTCGCATCGCCGGTGGGGAGATCCGAGCCACTCGGCGGAACGTATCGTGTGTAAAGCGACAGCTTGTTCCTCGGTCACCGCGTACACACTCGAACGAGAGAGACACTCTTCGGTGGCGAGTAACGCACGGGAAATCGGGCCGAAGAGGGAACAAACGGCGACGGCGACGGCCAGCGGCAGAAGAAGAGGGAAGAAGGTGTCGGGGATAGCGTAGCTAGAGGTAAAGCCGGCGGCAAGAGAGAGCGGAAGGGGTGATGGACGAGGCAGAGTGGGAAGCAGGGTGGTGTGGAGGGTCGACGGCTTCAAGAATCTACGGGGCCACAAATAAGAGATAAAGCTGGCCTGGCACCTAGTATCTAGGATCTAGGCTCCGTATCACCTCTGTGCCCGAGGGATAAGACGGGGAATCTCCTGCAGAAACTCACCATAGATTGAATTATCGTCCCCCGATCGATTTTGAATTTAGCCTGCCTTGCCCTGTGCACCGTTATCGTCCTCCGAATTGGAACGGACAGCATAAGGAAGGTTACGCAATTAACTCCGGAGGTGGGCCACGGCAACGACGGCACACAGTGACGAGCATTTGACTCGCGCGGAATTGAAAATCCGAATTCCGCGGCGAATTGAATTGTGAGAACGCCGACGGAGATTCTTGGCGATTTCAAGGCTGTTTGTTTTTAGAAGGTAGCCCGGCCTACAGTATCTAACCGATAAGCGCGACGATTTCGAGGAAATGGAGACTTATCTAGCGAAGATGGAAACTATCTTGTGTCAATATTGACATTATGTTGGCGCATTCACCTTGTCAGCCGAAGACTGAGGAATGCTTTTCCAACGAATTCACTGCCTGCCGTTGTTACCTTCAAAAACACTGCACACCTTCGAAAACGACGCAAACGCGATGCGACGATGCGAAGCGTACACATGCATCGCACCAGATAATCCGATATAATATTCAGCATATTTTCAAATCGATTAATTAGCGATAAATTGTACTCTGTGATATGAACGCATATCGAGGAGAATGTGGTCCCTCCTTTTCATTCGTTCTTCCTACTATAAACATTGCAACAAAATAAACATCGCAAAGAAAGAGAGAAGGAGAGATGAAAGAGTCGTGTATGGCGCCTTCTCGATAACCATATCGAGACTGGCGTCATGCGAGGTATAATAACGCACCGCAGATAACTGCGACCGTCATTCATTTCAGAAAAGGCGGTGACTTCTTCGTTTCCATTTTTACATTTTTATCGAAGTGGCTCAGTGAGTCAACGGCAATTTTTAATTAACAGACTAGCTTTAGATTTAGCTTTTATCTTATCATACAAGAAGGTCAGATTACTCACATGTGCCTAAGTTTTCTATATAGATGATATTCTGTGTAGGCAAAAAATATATCACCAATATAAGAATATCTGGACCGAGCGTGTACTATTATATTAAGCAAAGAAGATATACTAATTTGCAATAAAGAAAGAGTTACGGTACTTATCAGGTCATGTCGCTCGTTATCATAGATCATACATTTAATTTGTTTGTGTTAAATGGCTTTTAAAACTGGACTTCAAGACTTTGAAGACTTTTTTCCGGCTCCTATGTTTGGAACGCAACCAATGGTCCATTGCGAGAACTTAACTTTTGAATATTAACCAAAAACAAGTTCTCTCATTGGACCATCGGCTGCGTTCTAAAACGAGAAAAAAATGTTTAAGTCGTCTTAATTAGTGTAAAGTTCACAACATATTGACAATTATAAGAGATTGATGAAACAAATTCTCTTTTTTCTGGTAATTAATTAAAAACAAGTCCTGTCATTGGGCCATCGGCTACTTTTCAAAACGTATCGAGAAAAAAATGGCCCAAAACGTTTTGAAAAACTCAATATACATTTCACAACACATTGACAACCTGTAATTGACGAAATAAATTCTTTTTTAAACACGCTACTTCAGTTGGATTACAAACTTTACTTTTCCTTACCGCAAATTAGACCATCCCTCCGTAGAATATTCCATCTAAAATCCCTACGAATAGTTATTACTTGAGACTCGTCTCAAGTGAGATATTCAGATTGAAATTCAGAGATAGATAAAAATGTTTCAGATGAATTTCAGTTAAAAGATCACAGATATAAGTGACACATATATAATAATTCAGCTGAAAAACTTAGAACTCTAACTCCGAATAAAAATTTGAGTATTTCACGTGAAACAAGAGAGTTTCAGGTGACAGCTATTAATACGAGACTAAGGGTCGGTTTATCCAACCTCTTGCTAAGCTAACTAACAGTTAAATCTTATGTCTGTTTCTACCTAATTTAAAGAAGAAACAAAGACAGACGTATGAGTTAACTGTTAGTTAGCTTAGCAAGAGGTTGGAAAAACCGGCCCTAAGAGCCGATTGTTCCAACCACTTGGTAAGTTACCTGACAGTTAAATATATCATATGTCTGCCTTCGTTTTTTCTTCAGACAGATTGGACAGAGACAGACATATAATTTAACTGTTAGGTAGCTTACCAAGAGATTGGAACAATTGGCCTTAAATCAGTCACCGAGGAACGGTACGAGAAGTAAAAGAAGAAGGAAGAGGAGAAGGACGTAAGGCAAAAAGTATCGAGCGACGCGTGCAACCGGACACTTACCTCGACATGCCCGGCGGATTTGCGAGAGGCATCGTTCTGATAAAAATGCGCGATTGGCCGCCCGTCCGCAGACATACAACCGCCGGTATTCGCGCATACATTTCGCATTATCGAATCTTCCGACCCGCCATAACGACCAACGTTAATTCGAGTTTTCTACGGTGCGCTAAATGTTTCTGGAAAAAAAAGTACGACGTTACCCCATCTCGTTTCACGCTTCGAACGTACTTCCGCGTGCGCGAACGACGCGACGAGAACGACGACGATGTGGGCGAAGAAAGTGGTTCTCCTCCGCACACGCGCGCGCAAGAGATAAACGCGAATGAAGTGTGAGTAGAAAGTAACGTTGCTGAACGAGTTTCGCGAGCCGATATCCCTGATAAGACGGTTAATCGAGTTAATACCGAACCTCGGCCGAATCTCGGCGAAATTAATGGTGTCGCGGTCGATAAATGTCAGGTAGAGTGAGCGGGATATATTCCAGGTATGAATGAGACATACACCGATCGTTTTGTTCAATCCACCTTTTATAGGAACCGCCTCCCGCCGACAAGATAAACTTCTCCTCGCGAGTCAATATTTGCTAAATCGTTCGTTTCAGATATGTCAGCCTCACTTGCACGTTACTTGGAACGCATGACTTCAATGAAATTGATAGTATGCAGCTGTATTTTCTTTCCTGCTCGGCGGCTCGACTTATTCATAAATTGTATTTCGCGGTGCACCGGGCGGTGGTGCGATTTTTACAACATTTTCCTGTTACGTCGCCTGAGATAAGCAATTTCAAATCGATACGCATGTAAGTGATTTTATTTCTTTATTTCCTGTGTCTGTATTACTATTTACCCGCATGTGTCGTTATTAATCATAATCGATATTAAATGTGTAATAAAACAAGTTTGACATTTTTCAATCCTTTTTACCGTCTTTTGTTCAACAATTCCACGATCGTGTTTTCTCTTTCTTTCTGCAAACTGCATAATTAATAATATATATACAAAACTATACAAGAAAATTGAATATCTTACGTAAAATATGCAATGGAATTACATGGAATTACAATATACGAAGAATGTACAACTTATTTTAAAGAGTTTTTAAGATGTCGATAAAACTGTTACCTCCTTGGATCACCTGATGAACAAATTTGGGTTAATTGCAGACTCGGCGTGATAATATTCATTTATGCAATTTAAGTAATTGCCGTCCCATTATGACGGCAGTCCTGTGACCGTTCCGCAAGCACGCGAAGAACTGTCCGGGTACAGTGAAACTGTACCAGTTTTATCTCGCAGTATTTATTCGCGAAAGACAAAAACAACAGGGCAACTCGCTACACGTATAGCGCTCGCTCGTTAATCTTATTTACAAAACAGTAGGACACAAGATATTTGCATATTCGTAGTAAACAATCGGCCGATCAACGAATTGAAAAACTTCCTAATTTGCACGACATACCAAGCTTCATGGTTACAAAGCGATGCGGCAATATAGTAAATTCCTAATTGCTAGAGGCTCTCGTGATAAGTTCGAAAATTCACAGTGTTTCAGGCAAACGCCGGGCAATTAGGCTCAGCTAATGGACTCTAAACTGTCAGTTATGAGTCTCTGGCTTCATGGGTGTACGCGGCAATATCACGTATACTTCCCGGGTAATGATCCCCGTAGGTTTGCGCAATTGCAACAAATAATCATTATCCAACAACGGTTACATTGCATAAGCGCTAATGGCTTGTGTGTTATCAAGTAAACATTTATCTGCGGTGATGATGGCTACGTCAACCAGGAAGCGGGTAAAAACGACAAATTCTTTTATGCGTTTTTATTAGAAGAAATCAACAAGCATAGACGTGTCTTCTTGTCTCAATATTTTTTAATGCTCGTATCTCCGTAGCTGGTAACTGATACTTTATCGTACCTTAGCTGATATTGTTACCTCTAATGCCGCTAATTAGCGACGGATTTAATTTCAGTAATAATGCATACGGGTTAATATCAACGACGTTATATACAACAGCGGCTAGGTCTCTATTACTATATATAGCGTCGTGGACGCGTACGTTCCTAGAATAAAGAAAAACGATATGTCGCTGAGCATCCTGTTACATTTTATGCTTCGCAGTTGCCGCGACGAAGGTGTAACTGATGGCTGTGCATGTTTAGTTGGGGAAAAATCAGCTCTTGGAGCAAACAGGATTTCCGTTCGTTACGCTCGTATACCTCGTCGCGTCCGTGGGTCACACACGTGAAACTTAACCGCGATCACGTTTGCAAACATGACCCACTCCGGCCGGTGAACGAGCTCCTAATTCGTCCGTAATTATCTCTCGCTCTAGAGCCTCTACTAAATACAGCATCGTTTACCGCGACGGCAAATCCTTTTCGGCTGCGGTAGATACGTACCAGAGCGAGCACACGCATTACAGCTCCACATAGTCTAGCATGCGCGACTACAAAGGAGAAGATACGACAAACGTTAGCATCCAGCTGCGCGTGTTAGTGCGCTATAATTAGCATCCCTGCCATTACCACCTGCGCGCCTGAAAATGATCGAGCAGATTAGCTAAAGCCGCTGCTTTCGGACTCTCTCTCTCTCTCTCTCTCTCTCTGGAGTTGAGTGCGCGATGGTGCGCCAACGACGGTCACCGTCAATAAAGATATCGCGATCTGCAGCACTTAAACTCAAATTAAAGTACTTTCGAGTACTTAAAGTCGAATAATCCCACAAACTAAGTCGAATAGCATTCCGGCAATCTCAATTCACCTCATATGACTCACTTCACTGCTGATTTGTCATCTCTTTGATGACAAAGAAGCCATATATATCATGATAACGACATTAGGATACAACTACCACAATGGTTCATATGTGAACAGATTGGAATCAATGTATACATACGAGAAAAGAAAGAAGCGTTCGAAATCATTTCACCGCGCAAGATTTGAGTTAATGCCCCTGATCTAATATATACGGAATGAAATAGCTTGGACCGCAACGACCCATAACAATTAGAACTTAGTATACTATCTTCTACAGCTCAGTTTCGGCATTAGTCCACAAACTAGTCAGTGTTTCAGTAAAGTTTGTACCACGAGCGAGAGTTATAATACAATTTTCTTGGTATATAATACGGTATTTACTGATTTAAGGCCTAAATTAATATAACGGCATTTGGTTAAAAATTCTAGAAGATAATTAAACCTTATATCTCAATTCGGTAAAATGTTAGGACGTAATGATTAGCTTGTTCGCTTTCATTGTAAACAAGAATATGTTTTTATTGACAACAGAACAACGAGCCGACTACATGCAAATTTTTCCGTTAATAAAACAACCAGCGTGTCAGTGTGTATGCAATAATCTTAAAAAAAAAGAGTAAAACGTACGAAACAAGTATTGGCCGTGAATTGTAAATTCGGCTGTAATAATAACAGCATTTAGCGCAAAACACGCACAACCGCACAGAACACATGCGACGACAAAACACAAGGAAATTCGCACCGCGCCTCGTATGAGCAATCACAAGTGTTTATTCTCACAATTATTGTACGACGTATATAACCGTTAGCTCTCCAGTATCCAGGATCAGTTATCGAAATTTCAGCAAGATGAAGCTTGCTCTAAGTTTGATCGTAAGTTCATTGACGTTAACGTTTGCCTTTCCGTCCGATCTATTCTACAGCACAGCAGATGCTAGCGCTACAGCAAGTGCAGCGAGCAACACGAAGGGTGGATACGATAAATACAGTAGATATGGTGGATACGGTATTTCTTTTAGCGACGCCAATGCACATGCTGTGAGCAATTCGTACGGACATAAAGGGGATGCTGCTACTTACAGTCAAGCAAACGCCGCCGCTAATGCGTTAGCAACGACGCAGGAAAAAGGAATATCCTCTGCGCAAAGTGAAGCCAGTGCCAGCGCTTCTTCTACAAGCGGTGCATATGGAAATTATGGACATGCACATAACGCCGCACAATCTGAAGCAATCACTAAAACAATAAACAATGGACACGCACAAGCTGCAAGCAGTGCAAACGCAGCAACCGGGGTATATGGGATACACAAAGGAAATTTCAATGCTAACGCGCATAGTGCAGCAAATGCTAATGCCATAAGTATTGGCAAAAACGGATACAGCGAAGCGGCTGCCCATAGTAAAGCTAGTGCAGAGACGAATAATCATTATAGATATGGATATAAGAACGGATACAACAAATATGGTTACGATGGAATATATGATAGACATAAGTATCATAATTATCATAATTATCATAATTATCATAATTACAAATATGGTAGAAATCATAAATACAAATTATATCCATTGGAAAAGTCCGAAAAAATATATATTATAAAATCTCCATATACCGCAACTAAAAGAGTACCACCGTATCATAACTCCCCTTACATATCAGCCATAGACGATGCTGATAATATAAAACACGGACTAAAATGGAACGACGGAATTAACAAATACAAGGTAAACGGCCTCAAAACATGGTATAACAAGGACGAAAAATATAACAAATACGGTTCATACGAACTTGGCACTTCACAAGCAACATCTAGCGCAACCGCTATCGGAGGGACACACGAAAAGGGAGGTAAAGGTTCTGTAGCTGCAGCTACGTCGAGTGCCAATGCGATTGTTAGTGGATCACATGGACACGAAGTGGCAGGAGCTACAGCAAATGCAGCAGCTAGCGCGAATACTATAAATGGATGGTACGGAGGCAAAGACAAATCTTCACTCGCAGCTGCATCTGCCACCTCGTCAGCTACAAGTCAAATATATGGCCACAAAGGCGCAAGTGCGGCGGCACAAGCAGCATCTAGCGCGACAGCTGTTGGAGGGACACATGAAAAGGGAGGTAAAGGCTCTGTAGCTGCAGCTACGTCGAGTGCCAATGCGATTGTTAGTGGATCACATGGACACGAAGTGGCAGGAGCTACAGCAAATGCAGCAGCTAGCGCGAATACTATAAATGGATGGTACGGAGGGAAAGACAAATCTTCACTCGCAGCTGCATCTGCCACCTCGTCAGCTACAAGTCAAATACATGACCACAAAGGCGCAAGTGCGGTGGCACAAGCAACATCTAGCGCGACCGCTGTTGGGGGAACACACGAAAAAGGAGGTAAAGGTTCTGTAGCTGCAGCTACGTCGAGTGCCAATGCGATTGTTAGTGGATCACATGGACACGAAGTGGCAGGAGCTACAGCAAATGCAGCAGCTAGCGCGAATACTATAAATGGATGGTACGGAGGGAAAGACAAATCTTCACTCGCAGCTGCATCTGCCACCTCGTCAGCTACAAGTCAAATACATGACCACAAAGGCGCAAGTGCGGTGGCACAAGCAACATCTAGCGCGACCGCTGTTGGGGGAACACACGAAAAAGGAGGTAAAGGTTCTGTAGCTGCAGCTACGTCGAGTGCCAATGCGATTGTTAGTGGATCACATGGACACGAAGTGGCAGGAGCTACAGCAAATGCAGCAGCTAGCGCGAATACTATAAATGGATGGTACGGAGGGAAAGACAAATCTTCACTCGCAGCTGCATCTGCCACCTCGTCAGCTACAAGTCAAATACATGACCACAAAGGCGCAAGTGCGGTGGCACAAGCAACATCTAGCGCGACCGCTGTTGGGGGAACACACGAAAAAGGAGGTAAAGGTTCTGTAGCTGCAGCTACGTCGAGTGCCAATGCGATTGTTAGTGGATCACATGGACACGAAGTGGCAGGAGCTACAGCAAATGCAGCAGCTAGCGCGAATACTATAAATGGATGGTACGGAGGGAAAGACAAATCTTCACTCGCAGCTGCATCTGCCACCTCGTCAGCTACAAGTCAAATACATGGCCACAAAGGCGCAAGTGCGGCGGCACAAGCAACATCTAGCGCGACCGCTGTTGGGGGAACACACGAAAAAGGAGGTAAAGGTTCTGTAGCTGCAGCTACGTCGAGTGCCAATGCGATTGTTAGTGGATCACATGGACACGAAGTGGCAGGAGCTACAGCAAATGCAGCAGCTAGCGCGAATACTATAAATGGATGGTACGGAGGGAAAGACAAATCTTCACTCGCAGCTGCATCTGCCACCTCGTCAGCTACAAGTCAAATACATGGCCACAAAGGCGCAAGTGCGGCGGCACAAGCAACATCTAGCGCGACCGCTGTTGGGGGAACACACGAAAAAGGAGGTAAAGGTTCTGTAGCTGCAGCTACGTCGAGTGCCAATGCGATTGTTAGTGGATCACATGGACACGAAGTGGCAGGAGCTACAGCAAATGCAGCAGCTAGCGCGAATACTATAAATGGATGGTACGGAGGGAAAGACAAATCTTCACTCGCAGCTGCATCTGCCACCTCGTCAGCTACAAGTCAAATACATGGCCACAAAGGCGCAAGTGCGGCGGCACAAGCAACATCTAGCGCGACCGCTGTTGGGGGAACACACGAAAAAGGAGGTAAAGGTTCTGTAGCTGCAGCTACGTCGAGTGCCAATGCGATTGTTAGTGGATCACATGGACACGAAGTGGCAGGAGCTACAGCAAATGCAGCAGCTAGCGCGAATACTATAAATGGATGGTACGGAGGGAAAGACAAATCTTCACTCGCAGCTGCATCTGCCACCTCGTCAGCTACAAGTCAAATACATGGCCACAAAGGCGCAAGTGCGGCGGCACAAGCAACATCTAGCGCGACCGCTGTTGGGGGAACACACGAAAAAGGAGGTAAAGGTTCTGTAGCTGCAGCTACGTCGAGTGCCAATGCGATTGTTAGTGGATCACATGGACACGAAGTGGCAGGAGCTACAGCAAATGCAGCAGCTAGCGCGAATACTATAAATGGATGGTACGGAGGGAAAGACAAATCTTCACTCGCAGCTGCATCTGCCACCTCGTCAGCTACAAGTCAAATACATGGCCACAAAGGCGCAAGTGCGGCGGCACAAGCAACATCTAGCGCGACCGCTGTTGGGGGAACACACGAAAAAGGAGGTAAAGGTTCTGTAGCTGCAGCTACGTCGAGTGCCAATGCGATTGTTAGTGGATCACATGGACACGAAGTGGCAGGAGCTACAGCAAATGCAGCAGCTAGCGCGAATACTATAAATGGATGGTACGGAGGGAAAGACAAATCTTCACTCGCAGCTGCATCTGCCACCTCGTCAGCTACAAGTCAAATACATGGCCACAAAGGCGCAAGTGCGGCGGCACAAGCAACATCTAGCGCGACCGCTGTTGGGGGAACACACGAAAAAGGAGGTAAAGGTTCTGTAGCTGCAGCTACGTCGAGTGCCAATGCGATTGTTAGTGGATCACATGGACACGAAGTGGCAGGAGCTACAGCAAATGCAGCAGCTAGCGCGAATACTATAAATGGATGGTACGGAGGGAAAGACAAATCTTCACTCGCAGCTGCATCTGCCACCTCGTCAGCTACAAGTCAAATATACGGCCACAAAGGCGCAAGTGCGGCGGCACAAGCAGCATCTAGCGCGACAGCTGTTGGAGGGACACATGAAAAGGGAGGTAAAGGCTCTGTAGCTGCAGCTACGTCGAGTGCCAATGCGATTGTTAGTGGATCACATGGACACGAAGTGGCAGGAGCTACAGCAAATGCAGCAGCTAGCGCGAATACTATAAATGGATGGTACGGAGGGAAAGACAAATCTTCACTCGCAGCTGCATCTGCCACCTCGTCAGCTACAAGTCAAATACATGGCCACAAAGGCGCAAGTGCGGCGGCACAAGCAACATCTAGCGCGACCGCTGTTGGGGGAACACACGAAAAAGGAGGTAAAGGTTCTGTAGCTGCAGCTACGTCGAGTGCCAATGCGATTGTTAGTGGATCACATGGACACGAAGTGGCAGGAGCTACAGCAAATGCAGCAGCTAGCGCGAATACTATAAATGGATGGTACGGAGGGAAAGACAAATCTTCACTCGCAGCTGCATCTGCCACCTCGTCAGCTACAAGTCAAATACATGGCCACAAAGGCGCAAGTGCGGCGGCACAAGCAACATCTAGCGCGACCGCTGTTGGGGGAACACACGAAAAAGGAGGTAAAGGTTCTGTAGCTGCAGCTACGTCGAGTGCCAATGCGATTGTTAGTGGATCACATGGACACGAAGTGGCAGGAGCTACAGCAAATGCAGCAGCTAGCGCGAATACTATAAATGGATGGTACGGAGGGAAAGACAAATCTTCACTCGCAGCTGCATCTGCCACCTCGTCAGCTACAAGTCAAATACATGACCACAAAGGCGCAAGTGCGGTGGCACAAGCAACATCTAGCGCGACCGCTGTTGGGGGAACACACGAAAAAGGAGGTAAAGGTTCTGTAGCTGCAGCTACGTCGAGTGCCAATGCGATTGTTAGTGGATCACATGGACACGAAGTGGCAGGAGCTACAGCAAATGCAGCAGCTAGCGCGAATACTATAAATGGATGGTACGGAGGGAAAGACAAATCTTCACTCGCAGCTGCATCTGCCACCTCGTCAGCTACAAGTCAAATACATGGCCACAAAGGCGCAAGTGCGGCGGCACAAGCAACATCTAGCGCGACCGCTGTTGGGGGAACACACGAAAAAGGAGGTAAAGGTTCTGTAGCTGCAGCTACGTCGAGTGCCAATGCGATTGTTAGTGGATCACATGGACACGAAGTGGCAGGAGCTACAGCAAATGCAGCAGCTAGCGCGAATACTATAAATGGATGGTACGGAGGGAAAGACAAATCTTCACTCGCAGCTGCATCTGCCACCTCGTCAGCTACAAGTCAAATATACGGCCACAAAGGCGCAACTGCGGCGGCACAAGCAGCATCTAGCGCGACCGCTGTTGGGGAAACACACGAAAAGGGAGGTAAAGGCTCTGTAGCTGCAGCTACGTCGAGTTCCAATGCGATTGTAAGTGGATCACATGGAAACGAAGTGGCAGGAGCTGCAGCAAATGCAGTAGCTAGCGCGAATACATTAAATGGATGGTACGGAGGGAAAGACAAATCTTCACTCGCAGCTGCATCTGCCATTTCGTCAGCTACAAGTCAAATACACGGCCACAAAGGCGCAAGTGCGGCGGCACAAGCAGCATCTAGCGCGACCGCTGTTGGGGAAACACACGAAAAGGGAGGTAAAGGCTCTGTAGCTGCAGCTACGTCGAGTTCCAATGCGATTGTAAGTGGATCACATGGAAACGAAGTGGCAGGAGCTGCAGCAAATGCAGTAGCTAGCGCGAATACATTAAATGGATGGTACGGAGGGAAAGACAAATCTTCACTCGCAGCTGCATCTGCCATCTCGTCAGCTACAAGTCAAATACACGGCCACAAAGGCGCAAGTGCGGCGGCACAAGCAGCATCTAGCGCTAGCGCTTTTGGAGGGGCATGCGGAATGAACGGTGAAGCTGGAGCTACATCCAGTGCAAATGCATTTACTAGTGGATGCGGAAAGAAAGAATTGGGCACTGCTAATAGTCAGGCAATTGCAAATATATTAAGTTCTTCATATGTTCGGAGGTACATAAATTCTGATAATTGTTAAGATATTTCATATATTAACTTCATTAATTATAATATGTCGTTCGGCGTTGTGTAATTCGTACTATAATATGTTGTGCAGGAAAAGAAGAGGAATCAGTGAGACTTTGGCTGCAGCTGGGAGCAGTGCGTTTGCTATGACTGAAGAACAGAAGGGACTTGTTCAAAATATAGCTGACAGTACATCCAATGCTGTAATTATGAAAAAGGGACATTGAATTTTGTAATGTTTGTAATTGTCTTTTATATCATAATAGTTTGCTGTTTTTAAAACCTATTATTTTCTATTAGGTATAGTTTTTTGTTTGGTGGATGGTAGTTAAATTAGACGCGTACTGTAGAATAACCCATTATCGAATATGTCTTCTTATTGAATAACCCATTGGCTGAATATGTCTACGCTATTGTAACTAATTTTAATGCAATTTTCAAACATTTAATATTATATCGTTAAGGAGAATTGCTGTACAAAAATAGCATTATGCATTTAAAGACAAAGTAAGCTAACGGATTCTATATATTATTGATATTTTCCAAAATTTTGGTTTTTTCGATAAACATTACTATTTAATAAATAATAACAACAAATCTGCTTTAATAATATAATTCAATTGGCTCGTTATTTCCAAACTCATACGTATTACATCTCTGTTGTTTAAGCTACTTTTTTCTTTAACCATAAACGTCTGTATAGCTTGTTGCTTACTTATAGTTAGCTTACGTTGATACTAGCAACAACGGATACATTTGATTTCCATTATTTTACATTAGTTCAGAAAGATATTATTCAACTATATATGGTTTTTGCATCATGTCTGTATATATTTATTATCAACTTTATAATTTTGTTATTTACGTAGCACTAAATGTGTATGCGAAACTTGCCTGATTCACTAAACACGCGTGCTGTATAGAGCACATTTTACACTTAAAAATGTAAATGTGTTGAATTTAAAAATCTTACAATCGCTGAAATTTACCATATTACGCTGCTTTAGATGTTCATCATATGTTGTGCACAGACTAGTAAATTATTATCGCGGTTATTTATATTCGCTAAAGAAATTTAGCATTATTAAATTACCACAATAACACGAATTCTCGTTAATAATAATATGTAACACGGTATTCGCTTGTATATTTTGCTACAAATCGTATTATGTCACATGAAGAACCGAAAAAATGGTTCTGTTCTAGGTAGTCTTATATTTATCTTTGTAAAGTATTGCTGCGCGCATCGATAACGTGTTATTAAATAAATTTCGATAGCTTTTTATACACACGTTGAAAATAAAAATTTTAAAGCATCATATATCTCTCTGTGTCTTTTATGCTACACTATATACCGAAAAACCAATTCCGTTGGTGCAACTAAATTTTCGGTTACTCAAAGATCAGACGAAAACTCGGCTGTAGGAACACAAAAATTCCTTTGTGAGGCTTCTGTATAGTCAATTGTTTTCAGTTATCTCAACCGAGTTCTATTATCGCTGAATGTTCAGACGAATATTTTCGGTTACCACAACAGAAATATTAGTTTTCATAACAGAAATATCGCTTCTACTCATTTAATTTTCAGTTGGTTCCTATTCGGTTGCACAAATTGAGATTTTTTTTGCATGTACAAAATCTAAAACTAAAATATTTACATTCGTATTATGCTTATTTCTTATTTAATTAACAATCAATTGGTGCAATAAGAAAGATTAAATAAGATTATCCAATAATTATTACCTTTCTATTAATTATCAATTAATCTTTCTTTATGATATTTATTCTTTTATTGTGTGTTGCGTTGTAAATGCACGCGATATGCGATGATATGAAGGAAAGATTTTTCACAGTCTTTCACCGCTTAGAATGCGTCTTTGTACGGATAAGTTTTCTAAAGATCTTCGGGGTCCAGAGCTGTAAAGTCTCTTTTCGCGCTATAAAACAAGAGTTTAACAAACGAGGCTGCATTCACCTTACTTAAACAATGCAAGCCCGCGCGATTAAGGGGATTGTTCAGGTTGGCTGGATCAAGCACGCTGTGCAGAGAGTCGTGAAATTACGGTTTATGCCGCAAATAGAGATGATGAATAAAGCAGTGTGGCAGCGATATGAGACTTTTCCATTTCCTACAGTCGTTCCAAATAGTGGTACGGCAGTAGATAATATCATGGTAATATAATAATAAGAATGTTAATGGAGATTGTTATTTGTCATATTCCTTTTAATATCCTCGAAACGAAACCTCCTTCTCTCCTTTCCTCGAACCCTGCTTCCCCTCCCCACTCGCGATAAGTGCTCCTGATAAATACCGGAATGAAGATTGAATCTCGTAGAATAATGATTTATAATCTTGATAATCAAGCCGGCGAGAGGGCCGCTTTTACTGCCGTCGTCTCGCAATTCGCGCCCAAAGCTGGCACAATGCAACGTTTGGTTACCGTGGGTGGTAGCAGGATGTCGTTTACTGCAGGAGCTGCTTCGCGGCAATGATAGCGTCGCGTAATGCTACGGATGAGACTATCTGCAGCGCGTAATGCAGCAGAGCGCAGATTCGGGTGGTCCGGAGGGTGGGAAGTCGAATGAGTGGGGCGCGAATATAGGATGATTATGTCACAGTGTGATGTATGGCGACTGGCAACGTGCCATGCGGTCATCCAACCGCAGCATAATAGTACCTATCCTCTGTCTCCCTCTCTCTCCCGCCGTATTTCTCATCTTCCTTATTGAACGCATCTTCGTCTTTTATTTCTACAACCAGAAATTGATATCTCAAAGGGACTTTGCGTTATCACACGTTATCGATCCTTCGCGTGGCGTCAGCTAATTAGTCGTATTATGATTGTTCGTCACATCAAGTTTACAGAAGTATATACATACACATTCACGAGAGAACGACGTTGATCCGGCGCACTGTACGTCTCGCGGAAGAAAAATGAGACAATTGTAGGGTACACAGTTAAATGTCTCTGCATCAAGATAAATATGATGATATCCTTATTCGCATTACTCCGTTCGCCCCGCGCATCCCTCGTCGCGAAAAAAAGAGCTTGTCGTTCGAAGCGAAAAGTTCGTTAACGCAGTTCATCGTGCAGTTTGTGGTCGCAACTCCGGCAAGTTCCTCCACGGGTGGTGCTGTAAATTTTAAAGCGCCACGACTTTAGGGGCTCACATGTGAGTTTGCTTAATGTTCGGAGCGACTAACCGAATTGCTCGTTGCGATAAGACCCACCGCGGAAGAAATCTTCCGTCATAATCGTACGAATCATGGCGCGGCGTGTCGTACCGACGACCAGTTTAATCAAAGTGATGTTCCGTTAGCGGATAAAATATTATGTGCTTCTTAAATTCTGCCGGGACATCGTCAATGTTAGCCACGGTGTACCTTTCTTCGTGCGTGCAACTCATTACGCAGGTTAAGAAGACACAAAAATGAGAAAGGTGAAATAAATGTGAAGCAAACGAATGTGAAGAAATGGGGGAAGAGCAGAAAGACAGATGAATAGATTTATATAATCCTGAGTATATTCAACAAATATGGTAACACTTTGAGAAATTTCTTATGTAAGTCGCTACTAATTAATAACAGAGAAGTTTGAATATGATTGTAGTACAATATATGCGCGCGCGAATATATGATAGTTTGATATTGAATATGAAAAATGATTGTAATATAATATAATATTAGCGTAATATCAAGATGAAACAAGTGAAAAAGTAGAAAGATGAAATACTGCGTTAGCAAAGATGGACATAGCTATACAGAAAAAATTCTCTGCTGCAGCTAATCATGGTTTGCTGAAAATTTGTTGATGTAACGCAGAATTTACTGCTGTCATCAAAATTTTTGCTACTGTTGCTACTATATCGGTTTTATAGCTAAATATATGCTACTAGCAACTATATTTTTAGATATCCATATGTTAAAATGAGATTTAGCTATCATATACAAATTCTTACTGCCGCAATATAACACACACAGACACCTAAATATACATAAAAATTGAAGTAAAGAAAGAATAGATTCGTAAAAATACAATTCCACTTCTAGAATATTTTAATATAAAAAGGTATAAAAAAATATAAAGAAAAATTTGCTAAGCACTAGTAAAAAAATTATGAACGTGAAGAACTGACCAGTGCAAGCGTAGCCGCAGGACCACAGAAGACAGGAAATAAATTGCATTTCATAAAACATTGACAGCATTTCATAAAAAATCCTTTAAAAAAGGTAAAGAAGAAAAACCCTGTCTGACTTCTTCTGATAAAAAATTCAAGAAATACATTGCTGTAACAGTGAAAGACTTTTCAAAAATCTCAGTGTAACATTTGAGACAGAATGCATAAGTGAGAGAAAAACTCTCTTGAAGTAAATCACGTTAGATAGAATCACTAAAAGCAATATTTCACCGACAATAAGTGAGTGTTCACCGATTTTTAATGGAAATATTTTGATTTTACTGTTTCGTCTTATATCTCACTGATTTTGCCCAGTGGAAATAAAATTCCACTACAAAATCTGTAGTACACAAATCCGTTATGCACTGCACCAAATGTAACTTTCTGCATTTACAGCAGTGGAATTAATGGCTTTCATGCGCCTTGTGTGGGATGACGCTGTGTTAGCAAACTGCATCAGTAATGGGAACAGTCGCTTCTGTATGCATGCGCGGTTCTATTAGCTGACTCTTTCAATGAGATTTTACTGGTTGCAGTGTTATTCTTATAACTGAACCATCAGTTATAAGTCTAGTATTTCAGTAGAGAATCCCCCCTCCTCCCTCTCCGAGACTATTTTCTCCGAGGGAGAAAATAAAGGGTAGAAGTGAAAAACTGTGCGTAGGGTACGTGCAACACACATGTTGCATTGCGTAGCCATGCGGAGGACAGTTGTACCGCTTAGTGGCGCCCGGCGTATCTATTACGCAACGCTCACGTGCCCTTTCGCATGCACGTGTGCACTCGTAGGCGTGATCACAAAAGTGTGCGCATCCGCGTCGCGAGTGCTCCCCGCACAAGCCGCACACGCCGTCGTCACGATGCGCAGCGACTCTCAAGACCTGACGGTTGACCTGGGCTCGTTAACGGACACGTAACTAAGTAATCTATTCTTGTCCGCGCATGCATACGGAGCGCACGCTAAAAGTCGTGCATTTTCTCCGAGTCGCGAATGTTGGAAACGAAACTGACGAGCCAAAAAATAAATTAGACGACACGTTGATCCGATACCATAAATCACAGCGGCCCTCTTCCAGCGCTTCTCACGCGTAATTGGCTTCATCTTGACGGATTCTACCGCGAAGATTATTAGCCGAATTGTTTCTCTCGTGCACCCTCGAAAAGGGCCATAAAAATTCCACCAAAAAGGGTCGGCCGAAAGCGCTCGCCCCTATCCTGAATTCTCTCGTGAGTGACGCACGGATCGTAGGAATTCTTGTCCCACGGTCGCAGGCACCAACGAAGGTATCGGTCGTAGACGACGACGACGACGACGCTTTCACAGGACTTCGCGGTTTCGGACGGTGGCAAACACGTCCCAGCCGTGCCTCCCAGGTTCAAAAACGCCCGTCCGGGATGACTCAACCGGTCGTGCAACGAGCCGCAACCTGTCCGCACGGAGAAACCTACTACGTGCAACGGACGGTATTCGATTACCAAGCGCCAACGGTGCCTTTCAGAAGGTGGAACAAGATTAACGGTCGAGGACGAGCGCGTTTGATACCGCGCGCATCGTTAGAATTACGATGGTGTACGGATGAGAAATTAAACGAGTATTATCGTCGATGTTACGCTTTGTCGACGCTAACGGTCTCTCTCCCCCCTCTCTTTCTCCATCTCTCCTTCTCTCTTTCTCTCTTCCTTTTCTCTTCTTTCTTACTAAATATATATCAGCTATGCGTTTCTACTATTTTGTTTACGCGCACTTTGCTTCAATAGAGTTTAAATAGTTTTCTCTTTGTATTTGTAACAGTTCCTTCGATGTTAGAACGTAGCCGATAGTTCAAAATATCATTTTGTGTTTAATTCTCAAAAGTTAAGTTCTCTCATTGGACCATAGCCATATTCTGAAATGCATCGCAGGGAAAAGTATTCAAACGGTATTGAAGCCAATTTTAACATTATGAATGAGTTACTGCACGTGTATAGTCGCTTACAACTAAAACGCTTTAGACATCATAAAGTTGAGAATAAAAATGTCAAAATTAAGAGTCTTGTCATTACCGACAAGCTCTCTTACGTAGTAGTACTATAATTAATAATATAATTAACCATAGTTTGTCACAC